CAATGCTCGCCCCGCCAACGCGGACACGGGTAACGCGCACCGAGTGGTGGCCGAAGGTACATCCCTCGCGGAGTTTATCTCGGACTGGCTGCCAGAGCTCCCCCCGCCGGGACACCTTCCACGGAGGCGCAGGCTGCATCCCTCTTCTCCTTCTTCACCACTACAGTCTGCGCTGGCACTACAGGTGCAGTCGACATCTGCATTCTCGACAGGGCTGGCCGCTTTACCATGACCGGAGAGGATGCTCATCAGCGGCTCACGGCGGGCAGCACGCGACCCACGGGCCCATTGATCATCGCCTCCCCCACTCATTGGTGGGGTATTCCGGCGGCATTGGAGCTCCACTCTGTCCTCCATCACACCCACGTGCGATGGGAGGAGCTGTACAGCGCCTATGGGCTGGCCAAGCTTGGGATATCAAGCCCTCCCCGCGAGGACAAGAAGACTGCCCAGGAGTTTTACGAACGATGGTCCGTGAATCGCGTCCCCTCGCTCTGTAAGGCTACAGCGGTAGCAGCTCACAGTGGCATAGAGGGCTACCCGGTTCAGCTCCTCCTTCGGGGGGTGGACTTTGAGCACAGTGGACCGCGCGGTCAGTCCATCACGGCACGGCCGTTTTACCCTGTCATCGATACCGAGTTTCCTGTGTTTGGACTACTGGAGTTCACTAACCCGCCGAGGTTCGGGCTCCATCGCCTCCGTGACCACAGAGGAGGGGGTGTCCCTCTCCCCAAGAGGCTCTTCAGTGCCCTCCGCTCCACCCATCACAGATCGCTGATAGGGTCTCACATGCCTTGCGCGGAACCTGCCACTGAGTGCCGCGGCAACGCTGGTGTGTCGGAGTCAACAGTGATGGCCGTGCCCGGCGCATTCTACTGCTATGCTATTTCCTCTGACACGGTCAACACCAGGCTGCTAGGGAGGTTGCAGCGCTATGTGTCGTCGCGCCTACGACATTCTTCCCCTCAGGCAACATTGCTCCCGCCGGTGGCTACTACTGGACTGCCAAGAGCCCTATATGATCCGACAGGTGCGGTGCGCCCGGACCCGGAGATCGGCGAGCCTGCCAAGGAAGATCCGACGCTGACAGCCGAGCTGCGCAGCCAAAGCTGTGCGGCCTCTCACCCAGTTGCACCTACCGCTACATGGACTCAACGTGTGGAGGACCTACTGGGCGCGGTCGAATCCCCGCCTGATCGTCTTGTGCCAGGGGTCACCTCAATTGCCAGCAGGTGTGTACCAGCAGATGATGAGGATGAATTCGCGGAGCAGCATGACACCCTTCGCCGTTACCAAGCTAGGGGCAGACTCTTCAGCAATTACTCCCCAGCTCTCCGGACTGCCTTACCCTGCTTTCCCTCCCCTTGTCGTTGCCTGCTTGTGAACTCAAACTCAGTCCACAGAACTTTGGGGTGAAAGTTGTGGATTTTGCGGACCGAGCCCTCATGTTGCGACGCTGCACTGAGAGTGAAGCCTTTCGCGTCTGCTTAACACCACTGCTTGCTGTGTCCGTGGCATTGGCCCAGTTTTGTGATCCAGTCCTGCGCTTAGCGGAAGGACAGGTTTTCGACCTGTCCTGGTACGAACTGGCCCGGCCGGAGATTTGGTGGTGGCTGCTCCTTGACGAACTGTCGGGGCTCAAAAGCTCTCTCCCACGGGCTCTCGCAGGACGGAAATCCCCTGTACGCGATGGCAGCCTTATCCAGATGTCTCTGGCTCCCAAGCGCGACCCTACTGCAACACCAGACCCTTTGCCGACCAATAGCCGACGGGGGGAGAACTCCAGCCAGCGGCGTACCACCGGGGGAGGCAGCACTGTTGCCGAGGACAACAAGGGTACTCCGCTTCTGCATTGTGGAGTACTGCTGCCGGTGCAACTACTCTTTTTCCTTACCCGTTCGTTGGCCGACGACCCATCGTCCGCCCCACTCCTGCAACTCGCCAGTGTAACTCCTGGGCGAGATGGCCAGCATATTGAGGTCCGAATCACATGCAAGGTTCCTGTTGACTTGGTAGGCCGTCCGCAGATTGCCATCGCGGGCCGCGTGATGGAGGGCTTCGAGAATGGACTCCTCCCAGCCAGACGCGGAGAGTTCGAACCGCGCATGTTTGCGTATCCTGGCTCCTATCGTGGCACCTTTCGACTGCTTTTTCCGCTGGCGGATGTTCCGCTGGGGCTACGTGCTCAGCCGTCGCTGGCGATCCAGGCTGCAGGCCTACTCCACAGTGCCCTGTGGCGCCTCCGTGCAGTGACAACCTCTGGAGGCTGGGATCTCCGTGCGGTAGTTGCCTACTGGATCCGTGGGCCGCAGAAAAAGTAATTCTATTTTCCGACCCGCCTGTGGCGCTTTGCACACTTCGACGCAACGGAGGCCAAAGCGTTGGTCCTCCTTCAAAGGTTGGTCGCCCAGGAGGAAGGCCGCACACAAACTCTGCCTGATGGCACGCGCCCAAGGTTCCGGCTAGGGCACCCTCGGGCGCAGGAACGTTGGAAGGCGGCGGCAGATGAGTTCCTCAGAGAAGGGGGTCTCGGGCCCGGCCTCCAACTTCCCTGCATTTCCACGGAGCTCATGCCACACCTTCATAGTGAGGACCACGATACCCACCAGTATTCCTTTTCACGTTTGAAGGAAATGTACACTGCCCGAAATTACCAGATGCTTTACCTATTGAACGAGAGTCACTTCCCCTCGAATGGGCGCGACATGCAACGCCTGCTAGACAGCTGGCCGTCCGATGAGGCGTCCGGCTCTGCCCGGTGATCTCTGCTCACCCCGATTGTGACAGACGACATACGTCGTTATGTCTTGTTTTGGCATTCGGTGATCCCTTGCCGGAGCAACACGGGACTAATGAGACCGGCAGGCGACCGCGGCGTCCCGACCAGTCACGCCGTGTGGAGCCACCGGGACGCCGACATACGTCGATGTTCGTTCTCAGTGACACCGGATTGGTTTTCCTCCTTGCCGGGCGTATGCCCGGGGGGGGGGACACCAGCCAGCGTGGCGGTGTCCACGCTGGGTCCTCAATGCGTCGGGTTGCATTAAGCTGCCAGCATGTCGCCGTACATCGATGTCCCTTTTCTGACAACAGTTTGCTCCTGTGGCAAGTGTTGGCGCGAAACATCTGCCCACGTCGGTACTCGGGCATCGCTTTGCTTGCTCATCCACGCGCAAGAGCACTGGCCGCTCTCCACACCACTGGGCTCTTCGCACCTAGCGCTTCTCCAATGTGGGGCTGGAGGACCCTCTTCATTGGGCACCAGTATGTCCAGTTCAATGCATACGGATCAGAGGATGGCCACATCACTCCTTGGCTCCTCGTGTATGTGAGGCCCCGACGATCCATCTGGGGGTTGGCTGCTTCTGGCCGACTTTGAGATGTTCGGCTTCCGTGGCGAGTCAGCGGTCATCGCCGGCCTACGCGGAACTCTGGCCAAAGGGCGGTGCTGCTCGGTCCCCTTTTGCTTGCAGGACTTGACCGCATACCCTGTCTAGATTGCCACGGGCTCCGGCCTTATTGGCCACTTGCGCGCAACGACACAGACACCGCTTGGCTTGTGCCGGTGAAACCGACGACATACGTCGCTGTGGTTCCTTCCTTTCTTCATCTTCGGCATAGGAGTCGGCCCGACAACAAGCTGGGTTCATCACTTCTCCGATTTGGAAGGCTGATGCCACTTCAAAACTATTCACCCGCTGCATTGGCCTCCTATTGTGGTCTGGAGGCTCATCCGTTTCAGCCTTTGGTGCTTGCCGCTTCTGGTTGTCTATGAGCAGGGTCGACGCCAACTGGTCGCGCCGCACTTTCTGGGCCATTGGACTTGGGGCCAAGGGGGGGCGCCTGCGCTGTGCTCTTCTCCCCTCGGGACTCCTAAGCTTGCCGGCACGTCGACATACGTCGATGTCCGTTATTGACATGGTTTGGCCTTCCCTCTTGCCTTGGTAAGTGCGTAGAGCGAGGATCCGGCCAACGTCATTTCTCGGGCTTCGACATGCTCAACGGCAGGCATGGGCAGAACCCCGCACCTTCCCTCTATTGCACTCAGCAGGGTGCATTTTGCTGCCTGGTGGATCCCTTGTTTGGGCCTAGTTGCACTCGCCAAGCAGCCTGGGACGCCTGGATGCTGGCCTCAGCACAGCCAGACTCTTACCATGACCTCGGCTGTCTTGGGCGACCCAATTTGGCTTCCCCCACCTGGACAGCCCTTTGTCGTTTCTTAAACGTCGCGTGGTGTTTGCTGTCATGTGTCGTTTCTTCCCCAAAGGGGCTGGCTATTTGATGTTTCTTAACGTTCGATTGATAGGTCCTTTGAAAACTATGTGATTTTGTCCGCAGTCAGAGGCTCCTCAGGCGATATTTTATGCCTATACGACTTTGATAGTGCACATATGTTGAGCGAAAATGACACATCGTATGCGTATTATACCAGGGCGATGGCATTTTGCCACCCCGAGAAACGTGTGTTATAACTGTACACTCTTGCCGCCCCTCAGCCCAAGCACCGAGAGCCGAAGCACCGAGAGCCGAAGCACCGAGAGCCCAAGCACCGAGAGCCGAAGCACCGAGAGCCCAAGCACCGAGAGCCTCCCAAGCACCGAGAGCCCAAGCACCGAGTGGCTGCAGAATCGGGCGTTGGCAATTGCCACACCGGGAAACAGCTGTGCAAACAAAATACTTTCACATCACCATCGTGCTTTTATAAAAAAGCACACAGCTTCGCTTATGCATGGTCCGGCCCGTGTCCGTTGCACTCGATTGTGAGCCTGGGTTGATTGGGAAAACTGGTCGGTTTTGTCCGCAGTCAGAGGCTCATCATGATGTTTTGGACCTATATGACTTTCAGATTTAAGTGTACATGACTATAGCAAAATCACACATCTTAAGATATGGCTGCAGAATCGGTCGTTGGCAATTACCACACCGAGAAACAGCTGTGCAAACAGAATACTTTGACATCGCCATAGTTCGATCTATTATAAACAAAGCACGCAGCTTTGATGGCCACCCGCTCCGTGTCCGTTGCAGTCGATCGTGAGCCTGGGTTGATTGTTGTGTGTCGTTTACACTTGGTCTGCAATTGTCTGGGCCAATACCTTACACCCTCGGAGATTCACACGCTAGAGGGGGCCGCCCGCTCAGTGTCCATTGATCGTGATCCTCCGTTGATTGTGGCTTGCGCTTTGCCCTTGGTCTGTGAATTTCTGGGCCAATACCTGACACCCTCGGAGATTCACACGCTGGAAAGTGTGCACTGGTGGATCAGTGCCGACTTGCGCTGGCACATCCTCGCAAGCTCACCTGTGCACTCAAACCAGTCAAGCGCTGCAGGCTCAGAAGACTTACCTGTGCATCCTCGCAGGGCAGGGTGAGATGTGCTTTCTGCAGTTTTTGGTGCACGGCCCAAGCAATCCTGCATTTAGCTGCGCTCGATCATGCAGAGAGGTTTCCTCAACAATCAAAGCGATGGCATCTTTGGTGGTGCCGGCCGTAAGCGTGAGTCCCCAGGTGCTTCGACTGGCAGCAGTGGCGCCACGGGCACCGCAGGGACTGACAGCAGCGGCCCAGTTGCTTCGACTGACAGCAGCGGCCCAGTTGCTTCGACTGACAGCAGCGGCCCAGCTGCTTCGACTTCGACTGGCAGCAGTGCCACCGGCCCCGTTTTGGGTGCCGCTGCAGGATCCACTGCAGATGACAGCAGCGTTTCGGGTGCCGACGCTGGAGGCGACGCTGGGCAAGGCGGCTTCGGGCCGTACAGCCAGGAGCAGGTCGAGCACTTCAAGCGGCAGCTCAAGCATATGGACATGATGGGTATAGACGTCTATGTGACGGACTTTGGTGCCATTCTTGATCGCGATTCACTACGCCAGATCATTAAACGATCTGGCTACTAGACAGAAGCCTCGAGCGATCAGAAAGAAACGAGTGGGCTCGCGCGTGTTGTATGCATTGCTTAGCAACATGGAAGCTTGAGCATGTTCGCTTGCTTCCGCCTTGAGGCAAGTACTGCTGGAAAGGGGTATATAGTGGGCACTTGCACTATATATGGAATACACACACGTATAGACATAGTATATGTAGATAGCCTAGATATGTACGTACGTAAATAGATCGAACACCTGAAACCCTAATTTCTGTCTCCTTGGGCCGTGCAATTTCGACTGGATCGAAGGCACCACAGGCTTGCTTAAATCATAGTTCTCGTAAAATTCTAATCTCAAGATTACCGTGTCTGCGAGGTTGCATCCTCGCCCTCGTGCCCTTCGACATATCCCTACAGCTTCCATATAGGCCTGCTCCCGCAGCTTTCACTGGCTTCGACATCGGAGTTCTGTGCCATCGCAGTACTGCGCCAGGTTTCTTCGCCGGAGAGGCCGCGGCAAGTGTTCGCTTGTGGCCCGGATAGTTTGCAGGCTAATTGTACTTTGTCGGCCACAGGCCTTCTCCATCTCACTCCGACTTCGGTGGATAAGGACTGCCTGCATGCACCCGGCCGAGAGGCAGACAGTCCTAGCAACTTGCATGCATGATCGAAGCAGCTGCATGAACGTTTGCATCCCATGCAGCATCCCCTGCTCAATATTGTGTTTGGTTTTCTGTTTCACCGGCCATGGACGCCTTAAGCCGCATGGAAAAAGAGACGTTGGAGCTTCCGCCTCTGCGGCTTCGCCCTCGGATTTCTGGGCCGGGTCCATGCCCAGCCATGGGCCCTCACAGCGCCCACTTGCGGCAGCTTGGCTTCTCAGAGTTCAATGTTTCAATCTAGCTGAATACATACGTATGCGCACGTGCACTTCTGGTGCAGATTTCGTCCTGATCACTACGTGACCCCAAGCAACTCGGACCGCTCGCGCAGCAGTTCCTCGATTGCAAATGTATAATAAGGGACATCCCCATCCTATTGTTTTGCTTACGTGCTTTAAGGCTTCGGGCACATGACGACTTTGGGCAGCGGCGGCGCATGGGCAATTGCAGCGGGCCGCGAATGACGCAGTCGGGACGCATGATCGGACGCTGGACTTACATACGTTAAACCTTCTTCGTGGCTGCTGGCAAATCTCCCTTCCCCAGGATTCGGCTCGCTGGAAACGCTCGATGGCGGACACTCGACATTTGAACCCTAAATGAACCTCAATCTTAATTCTAAATTCTGTATATCCCTTAAGCAACTAAGGATTTGGAGTGCTGCCGGAGCTGCAGATGCCGGTACGGCCGGCTGATGGCGGACACTCGACATTTGAACCCTAAATGAACCTCAATCTTAATTCTAAATTCTGTATATCCCTTAAGCAACTAAGGATTTGGAGTGCGGCAGGAGCTGCAGATGCCGGTACGGCCGGCTGGTGGCGGACACTCGACATTTGAACCCTAAATGAACCTCAATCTTAATTCTAAATTCTGTATATCCCTTAAGCAACTAAGGATTTGGAGAGCAGCAGGCGCTGCAGATGCCGGTGGAGCCGGCGGTAGCAGATGAGGAGCCCATGGAGTCCCCGGACAAACCCGGGGAATGGACTCCATCCCTCAAGAGTCAGATCAGCGAGGACGAGGAAGAGTGCTGCGGCTGCGGGCTATATAATTGACTGTACAGTCATTAAGGCATTTCCAGAAGAAGTATAGTAGTAGTTGTTGTTGTTGCTGCTGCAACAGAAGCTTTCGACCTCCAACCCTGAACACCATAAATGCTTATTATGCTTATTATGTGCTTTCGGGGTCCCTTATATACTTGAGTGCCATATCATAGAGTATCTTGCACGACGATGCCCGTGCCGCAGCAGCTCCGGGGCCTCGATTTTGTGCACACACCAGCAGCTGCTGTTGCGAGCGACGTGATCGGGCAACGAAAAAGATCGAGTGCTGCAGGCCGACACGACACAGCCATGCATGTGTCTAGATTCCGATGTTCCTGTGCATGTACTTACGCCTTACGCGCCGAAGGACTCCCTCCACCACGCTGCGCAGATGAGGCCCGGGCCCGGGTGTTGGCACCTGCCACCCCGGTGCTGCGGACCTTCCAAATCTCTTGCCCTCTGGCTTAATTGGACGCATGTCTGTCTGCTCGGGGATGAACCTGAATGCCAGGATGGGACGATCTCGGAAGAGAAAATTCTTATCAGGACTGCTCCTTGATGCCTCTTACATGCGATCGTTGTTTGAAAGTGTAAACGTGTGCGCCTGTGCACAGAACGAGAAGCAAATGATGTGGCCCGTCCGCTCAGCAAGTGCCCCCTCGCTTTGCCAGCAATTGCTTCTGTGAGGCTTTGTTGTTGTGCCTGTGCGATCACGCATCATGGATGCTCGAAATCGTGTCTCGGATTGCTCGAGTCAAGTGACATCACGTAAGCATAAACCTCGTTCCGGCACCTTTTAGGGAAGCCGTTCATACAGCAATAACTCTGGCCGCTAAAACATATTGTATGTGCCGTGCATGTAAATCATTCTTGTTGGGCTGCTGGGCAACATGGATCAGCCTCTGAAATATCTAAATTGGTCTACGCACAGCGCCTTGGACTCAGAGCCATGGTATATATTCCAGATGTGCTGCTGGTTGAAAAGTGCCTAGAGCGCTTGGAATTCCATGACATGAGGGAAATATATGGCATGGTCTTTCTTGGCCTTCCTTGGGCTCCTTGCTCGCAATAGGCGTTTGCACTTAGAAAGATTCCGTGGCAGTCATGCTGCATGCTGCACTTTTGTTGATTGCATACACTGGATGCAAAATGGCTCTGCAGCATGGTGTTGAATGTGCATGGTCCTGGATTCCAGGACTCAGCTACAGGTATCTCTAGCAGTATAGAGCTAGCTGCATGCAGCTGTGCATGGTCCTGGATTCCAGGACTCAGCTACAGGTATCTCTAGCAGTATAGAGCTAGCTGCATGCAGCTGTGCATGGTCCTGGATTCCAGGACTCAGCTACAGGTATCTCTCGCAGTAGAGCTAGCTGCATGCAGCTTTTGTCAGATGTGCACATTAAGCAAACCAGTAGAATGGGTCGGCCAAGCGGGATGGTCGAGCGGACTTTGGAAGCGGACGAGCTGTCCGCTGTGGTTGATCAGATCAAGAATAATGTGCCCCTGGACTTCATCCCGAAGGTGATCGAAGATGCTCAAAATATCTTCAAGAAGGTGGCCAGTCTGAAAGGGACCATCGCTCGCGAGTTTCTGATTGCTCCCCGGCGAAAGTGAGTTCTGCTATTCCTCTCTTTGTTGGGGTGTTGTCTGCTTCGCTGTCTCTCGAGACGATCAGGAGCATCATTGGATCCTGAAGCCACTCCTGCTCTGCGAGCCCAAGGTCCTCATCAGTGGTGAGTCGATGCTCAGCTCAAACTGTAGATCGTGCATGCTGTGTTGCCTGAGATTGAACATTCCTGATCAGGATGGTGCAGATTCTGTCGAGTGTGCTCCTGCCGATCATGCCGGGGGTGATCGTTGAAACCCTGGCGTACGACTTGAAGGCGATGGTATCGGCGCTGCGGAAGCTTCGGCGGTCGTGGAAATTTCTTGCAGCGCGTTGCGGCAGCACAAAGTGGCCGAGCGTTGCCTTCTCCTATGATGAGAAGCTGCTGGAGCTTCTCGACCTCTTGGAGGACGGAGCTCAAGAGCTCAAAGACGACGCCGCGATGCCCGAGGCCGAGTTGGAGCATGACCTGCTGTTCGATGTGAAGCTCGAGGAAGGCGACAGAGAAAGAATCGAGTTGCAGAAGCAACTGGATAACAAAAGGAAGCGCGTCATGGAGGACTGGGTGGTCGACTCATGTGCTTGTGTATATTCCTGGGCCACATGTCACCGGTCTTGTTGCTGCTATGTATATAGGATCTAGAAAACAAGCTCCTGGACCTTTGTTCGGACGATGAAGGTGCCCGCATGCCAGCTCCTGGCCTCTGATTGAGTCGAGTTGTGCCATTTAGGTTTCATTTGGATTTCTGTGTGTCTGCGCAATGTATTGCTGTTTCCTTCGCCGGCCGCTCTATCTCAGTCCGCCGGAAGTTCGACCGACAAGCCCGCGGCGGCCGGAAGTTCGACCGACAAGCCCGCTGCGGCCTCTGGGGCCGCATGATTGAATTCCAATTCTTTCCAGAGGGTTCAACACATGATCGACTGCATGCACCAGGCAGACCCGGCTCCTGATCCAGACCAGTTCGCTGCAGCTTCGAAGGTGGCATACACAATTCTTTCCAGAGGGTTCAACACATGATCGACTGCCTGCACCAGGCAAACCCGGCTCCTGATCCACACCAGTTCGCTGCAGCTTCGAAGGTGGCATACCCAATTCTTTCCAGAGGGTTCAACACATGATCGACTAGCCTGCACCAGGCAGACCCGGCTCCTGATCCAGACCACTTCGCTGCAGCTTCGAAGGTGGCGTACACAATTCTTTCCAGAGGGTTCAACACATGATCGACTGCCTGCACCAGGCAGACCCCGCTCCTGAGCCAGACCAGTTCGCGGCAGCTTCGAAGGTGGCATACACACCACAACCGGAATACGTAAAGGAAGCTCTGCTGCCCCCAAAACCATGATGCCTGCATGCCTTGCCCTGTTGGATCAGTCACCTTATAGACTGGCCAGGATATGAAAGATCACAATGCACGCACACCGGCAGAACCGCTGTTGTCGTCAGGCTGGGCCTTGAGTCATGTGTTTGAGCTGTCATAACCATGAAACCTTCCTGGCACTGCAGACCAACTGAAGCTCCGTGCGGAGAAGAAGAGCGTGGCTGCTGAGAAAACAAAGAAAACAAGAAAGACCTACGTCACAAAGAAGGCACGTCGCAATGGAAAAGATGTGTCTCGCCGGCAGGATAAACTTCACATGCAGTGCATGTCGTCATATGCTGCATATGATGCGTCAAACATGTTGTGGTCCAGATCCTGGCTCTGGCGAAGAAGCTGGA